CGAGGAATGCACTACTCGATCCCTCCGCCCTTATTACCCTTAACCACAATGTTTCCAACTTTTTTTATTGCTAGTGGGGTGGGACTAAGCCCCTTGTACTGCGGCCACTTCTGGCCCACTGTACCAGCCCCAGATGATAGGTGAGGGTGATTGTGGAGCAATTGGTGGAATNTACTCGATCCTCAGAGTATTCCGGTTTCCTCTGCCAATTTTCATTCCACAGACTGCTTCACATTCATCATATATCATCTGGGGCTGGTACAATAGGTCAATTAGTGGCCGACGTAACAAGTGGACATAGTCACAGCCCACCCAAAGAAACTTACTTATAGTTCCATGGTGATCAAGGACTAAGAGGAGTGAATCCTTGTTCTGACAAGACAGAACACATATTGCCATTGAGCGTTCCAACATATGATTGGCTGTGATGGAGAATGAACTGGAAAGAAATTGAAAACAAGCGGCCGTCACCTAAATTACTGTAAGAATCTCGATATTTCCCTGGAGGGACTGAGAAAAACACGAATAACTTCACTAAAGATGGTATTCCGGCCGAAATTCAAACCGGGCACTTTTCGAATGCAAGTCAGAGGAGCTACGGCTTGAGCCAGCCTGCTCGGTGCTTTGAACTAACGGGTTTCGCCACCTTCCGGAGCCTCTTCTGCAATTTGTACGTGTTAACACGTCTGCCCTGCGCAACTGTGCCTGTGTTCTTTGTGACGAAACCGTTCCTTCTGGGAATTGCTTCACTGCACAGTGCAATCGAAACAAATGACATAGGTTGTTAGTTAATGACTGCATGTAAATAAGCAAATAGACTGATGACGTAATAAGCAGTTCTTGTTGTACATATATTTGCTCTTGCTACAAAATGTCACCTGTATTAGTGACGTACACGGTTCGAATCTCGGCCATCTTACCGGCTATCATGACTGATGTTTTTCGCTATGTCACCATCTTGCCAGACGAATACAAGCAGAGAATCTTAAACCAGGCCGCAATTAGCTCCTTCTAAATCCGTACGTAGTTACGGTTCATGATCGCCTTTCCATCTCTATTGACACAATGTAGGGTGAATAGCCGGAAGAGTGCCTCTAAATAAATACTCTGTCAACATAACAAACATGCAGATCGGTTGATTTTTCATTTGTTTAACGACCGCTTTTCAACTGCATAAGTTACGTAGCGCCGTTTGGCAGAAGTTGGAGAGAACGTGGAGAAAATTTATCTTCGCCTGTCTGGACGTACTGACTGAAAACCATGAACCTGGGATTATGTCCGATGCCGAGTTTCGAGCCTGGGATGTCATGAATACGAAGAGGGGTGTTAATTATGTGAGTGGTGTGTCTCGCATTCCGGAGGTTCCCACTTCGAATCTATGCCAAGGACCGATTGTTCTGAGTCTCCCCTCCCCCCACCTCTCTCTATGGCTCTACAGCCATTTGGGCCTTGGGAGCTTTTTCAGTATAGTAACTCTATACACAGGAGACGGGATAGCATAGTTGGTATAGCAACTGGCTATGGGCTGGACGACCGAGGGGCCGGAGTTCGAGTCCCAGTAGGGTCAAGAATTTTCACTTCTCCAATCCTTCAGACCGGCTCTGGGATCAACCCGAACTCCTATACATTGGTTACCCGGGGCTCTTTCCCTAGGGTAAAGTGGACGGGGCGTGAAACTGACAACTCACCTCCAGCTAGTGCCAGGGTCAAGAAAATGTGGATCTATACATCTACTTCCCCATACGCCTTCATGGCGTAGTGCTTAATTAGTTAAGCACAGGGACAACTTTATGTTTAATCCGACACACAGACGGTAGGACACCTTGGACAGGGGATCAGCCCGTCGCAAGGCCGCTATCTACACATAGAACAGCACACACAGAATAAACGCACACACAGAATAAACGCACACACAGACATCCATGCCTCGAGTGGGATTCGATCCCACGATCCCAGTGTTCGAGGGGGCGAAGACAGTTCATGCCTTAGACCACGCGGCCACTTTAACCGGCTTATTCTGAGTTATTCCAGGTAAATTCCGGATTAGTTCTTTAAAATGAGCCATTCATGTTCAGCGCTAAATTCTCTCTTCAGATAATTCAGTGTCTTGAAGCAACCAATTAATCAGACGTCGTGTATTAGTGATTCTTGCGGCTAAGAATATGAGTATAACGGAAATCTGCCTTGTTTAACTCAGCCAGTAGTCATGGTTATGAGCAAGTTGTCGCAGGGGTCACACATACAGTTATATCAATATATTTCCATAAATAAGAGCCATTAGTCCTTCGAACTTTCACCTCAGCACTGTCTTATCTGCACAGCACGGGACAACACTTGGTCTTCTGTCTGCAGAGCGAGGGCAGGTTGAAGGTTGAAGAGCACTAATCAGTCCACATAGCAATCGTAAGGACTGCTTTGAGGTCGAACAAATGTATCAGTCTCGGATGGTGCGCTGACAGGCAGTACTGTCTCCTCTCTGGCGATGCTCGGATCGGAGTAACGTAAAAAGATAAGAAAAGTTTCCCCCCTGCTCTTTAATTATCACTACCGCCCGAATACGTCTGATTGGGGGGGGGGGTATAGCTCTATGTATGGAGGTGAGGGATCAGCTTCAAGCCCTGACCCCTCTTCCCAAAGGGACAGAGCCCCGGTACTCAATGGATAGGAGGTTAGGTGAAGCCCTGTCTGGACATTGTAGTGGCTTCCAGAGATTGAACACGATTCCTCCACTCTCCGGCTCTCCGCCTATTCACTTTACAGACTGTGCCAAAGATGAATTTATTACGTATATCTATCTAACGTTATTCCTGCTCCTCCCACTTGGAGCATTGGACATCCGTGAAAAGCTTCGTTTCACTTCAGTTTCTTAATCTTAGACAGTCGGTAGGAGTCCTTGGAACGGGGATCAGCCCGTCGCAAGGCCGCTGCCTACACAGAATAAACGCATACACACACCAAACATCCATACCTTGAGTGAGATTCGAACCCACGAACTCAGTGTTCGAGCGAGTGAAGACATTTCATGCCTTACACCGCGCGGCCACTGTGATCGGCAGTTTATTACGTGGCCTATTTTAAATGCGAGTGATTGATTCTTGGATTATACTTATCGACGCTTTTTAATGTCGTCACAGGCGGAATGGCTGCGAATGGTGAATTGGTCATGACACTTTTAAGCTATTGTCCAAACATTTGAAGTGACGGAGAGAAATACGAAAACACCGAGGGTGACTTCTCTTCGGGCCAAGATTCAAACTGCAGACACTGAGAATAGGAAGCAAAGCAGGAATCAATGAAAATTACTCGTACTCACCTGCGACGTTCTTTTTCAAACTTTAATTATCTGAAAATATGATTAATCCAATTATACTTTATTAATCTAAATTTTGATAGTAATTTGCTTTATACTAGACGCAGTAATTGTATCACCGTGGGTAGTGCTCATTCTACATGTTACAGGTCTGGCAAGTATTTTGTGCAGTAGATTGAATTTAAGGTTAGAAATTTGTGATGGATCTCTGGTAAGAAATTGAAATTGATAAGAGGTCGTTGAGCAAGATGCAAGTTTTTTTAATTCAAGATATATAGACAGTGTGAAGAGAGTATTGCGAATTGGGTTATAAAGTGTGAAACCCCGCAACTGTGTTATAATTAATTGTAGCCGATACTTGTAGGTTGTTAAATAAACAAATTAACAATCTCTACGGCGTCTACAGTAACTAAAACACGTTACAATATATATATGGAGGCCTGTTGCAAAGCGGTGTAATAGAACAAACCTCGGCGCTAAACACCAAAGCCCGCCAATGGACACTATGCTGAGCCAGTTCTATCCTACCTCCCGATCTCAGAGTAAGGACATTATTGTCTGCTGGGAGAAAACCGCATAGTGCGGTAGGCTGTCACCGAGGATTTGGAGGAATCCACTGTCTCCATTTTCAGGGTAGAAGGGTAAGCCTGTCTTACATCCATCTCCTTATTTTCATTGGTTCACTCATCACATCCTCTGTTCTCTCCTTCCTTTCACACTTTGCTTACTTTCTCCGGACGTTGGTATCACACACCCTACAGTTCACTACAGCACGCTGTCTTTACCGGTTTCCAAAGGCATAGCTCCCTCATCTTCCGTGTTCGCACCCTTGCTGGCCAGCGACTGTCTCACAACTGACTGTGCGTTTCTACGCAACGACTTAAAAAAAGGGGGCTTCTTCGCCTCCCATGCTTCAGCCAGGGACGACTCTCTGCGATGACCTCCCACGGGTCTGTCTCCCAATTGCTAACTTCAGGTTCATTCAGAATTGGCTACTTTAGACTCTCAACTGATTCACTTTGAGTCTGAGTCTGAGTCTCATGTTACGACCGACGGTCACTCGGCCAGTCTGTCTTGGCATAAAGAACACATCTGAGGCTTGCGACCAGATCTTTATTACTGTTTGACAGTTACGGTCTTGTTTTTTGTGGGCTCCCTCTCTGACGAGAGGGCAGGTCTGTCTTTTGGTTATGCTGCTGACCCTTGCCAGCTCAGCCTTTCTGGGGTCCGAGTCCCTTGGTACTCGAGACCATATATTACTGTCTCAATTTAGAGACTTCCCTTTTCGTCTCCTCCTACGACTCGTAGGGTCACGGTGGAGGTATTCGAACCCACGTCCACACGGGACCAAGTGATTCACTTTTCTCGCTGGTCCACTTGATATAGCCCCGGGACGAACCCAACAGAAAATACATTTTCTTGCAGCTGGGTTATTGTATTGTCACTTAGCCGTAAGGGCGAGTCGCACAGAAAACACCGCTTCTGATAGTTATTCAATTGTTGCGTGAACAACTGTTGCTACGCTGACGTGGAATTTACTGTGTCGTAACCTAGTAACAGACGTATCTTCTGATATTCCAAGAGCTTCCCCACCGAAATTATGTGTATGCCTGCATTTTCGTCTCTCTGTTAATTCAACTAAAAGCACAGTAATATAAAATTTACTGAACCCATGAAATGATACTTTCAGATGTGCCGAAGAGATCGCCAAAGCTCGTCAGCCCAGATTCACTAAGACAGCGATCTCCTGTTTGCTTATCTTGTGGTAAGTCAATGCACAGACTGTTTCGTTTGTTTCATTGCTTCCGGCAAACTGTTTATCCAATGCATTTCATTTTCGACAAGAACCCTGCTCGAAGATACAACACAAATTTAGAGATGAAGGGTAACGTTCTCTTGAGTGTTCGTCGAATGGCTTTCTGCCCACACGACTTCAAAATAAGAGTGGCACGTGTACCTAACTTCCTTCTCACCACGATATGACGTGTGGATGGAGGACACGGTCTCCAGTTTACCGAGTGAAACTGCGATCGCGTCATGTAAGCGCCTCTCTACGTGAAGATCTGCAATGTTGCGCGAAATACCCCAAAGACTCTTGGACTTGAACGGCATATTTAGCACAATTTAAGATTGGAGGAACGTATAGAACACACGAAGAGATTAGAAATGCGTCCAAAATTTTAGTTAGAACTGGCTGCACGCACAAAACAGAAAGCGGGATAATAGGCCTATAAACAAGAGACATTTGTGAGTATCGAAAGAAAATTAATAGAGAAAAACAAATTATACAAAGAATATAAAAACTATATTTTTATCCATTGCAGATAAAAGAAATCAATGTACACACCACTTACTGACTTACTTATGCAGCTGAACCCTTCTTGAGGAGAAGCCAATTCTACAGCTACTCAAGAATTTCCCAGCATTCTATGGAACCCGAAGGTTCATCACCGTGTTCACAAGAGCCTTCCACTGGTCCATATCCTGAGCCAGATCAATCCAATCCATCCTATCCTATCTCTCTAAGATCCACATTAATATTGTCCACCCACCTACTCCTTAGTCTTCCCAGTGGTCTCCTTCCTTCTGGCTTTCCCACCAATATCCTATATGCATTCCTTATCTCCCCCATTCGTGCTACATGTATAATTAACTACACGAAACACACTCACGCCCCCTAAGATTACGCTAATAAGCACCACAAGGAGATCGAAACCGTATTTATTAAATTTAATTTTATTTTATTCGCAGTTTTAATTTTAATTTTAAAATTAAGACTATGAGCGCAATGAACAGTTTAGCATAATGAGGACACCTGATGGTGACCGTATACAGCCGAAACATGTTATGAGTAAAGATTAAAATGACTGTAACAATCTTGTGTTCCATTGTGAAATTGATGAAATAATTAATTAGAGGAGAGATCTCTTGGATAACGTAGACGTAAACGGGCGATTAATATTAAAATATATCTTAAGCAATAGGATGTGATGATAGGACTAGATTAATTTAGCATATGTTTGTACGGTGGCGTGCTTATGTGAATACAGTATTGCGCCTCCTCGTGCCACTGGAAGGTGGGAATTAATTGATCAGATGAGCCACTTATCGGCTTTCCTGGAGCTGTTACTTTCGGGTAAGGCTGGCAACCTCACCACCATCTGTGAGGCGGCTGTCTATAAAATGTGGGAGCCTCGACGTCTCACAACCCTATGGCCCTCCACGGCGTGTTACAGGGATGCCTTTACTTTTACTTTACTTACTTACTTTGTTTCATTATTCTCCCATTCGACGCTGTAGGGCTTATAAATTAGGCAGTAGATATAGTGTCGTAAAATGGAATAAAAAGGAAAACGTCTGTTGTCCATAACTATAAATATTTCTGAAGTGTAACGCCATAGGACATAAAAGTGAAGCGAATAAATATGCAACGACCTGGGGAGTCACATGCAAAGTGTCAGAAACTACCTCTGTTAATTCTTAATGGGAGTTTTAAGTATTAAACAGTTGTTTCCAGATTTAGAACACATGGTGAGTCATTATCTATAATGGGAACTATGAAAAATTGAAAAAAGTAATGACAGTTTCTGTGGCTTTTAAAAATTAATGGATAAGGATTCGAGAATTCGTGATGGATTCAGAAAGAAAGAGATTAAAATTACTGTGTTTTAGGTTGACATTGTTTCTGAAAAAGGTCTTGACTGTTTAAAATAAAAATCCAAGAAGTGCATCACTCTCTTCGCACTTCACGACACCTAATCCAAGAAGTGCATCACTCCCTTCGCACTTCACGACGCCCAATCCAAGAAGTGCTTCACTCCTTTCGCACTTCACGACGCCTACCAACCTGGATCTCTTTAGCACTGAGTATGCTGTTATGAATTTTACTCTGACTACAGATGTGTATGGATGTTTCTCTGTGTTGTGATGTACTGTGTAGACAAAGTCTATGAAATGGGTAGATATCCGTCAAAGTAGGTCAGCTAAATATCTAAAAGCTCCAGTACTTCGGAATTAATTATGAGCAGGAAATTGCTAGGTCAGTATTTCTCAATGGCCTATCTGCAGCAAATTCTTAGCAATACGAAAAATTTTACTAGCAGTGTTATTTTGCATGTTGAGTTTTGTAATGTTGATCTTAACTTATAATTAGGTTTATGTTGTGTACTTCTGATGAGGTTTATGTTGTGTTTGTTTTACGTATCCTGTCATTTGTTGGTTCTGATGTCCTCAGATAGTGACTAGAGCTATCCATTGGGGACCAACTGAACAGGCTTTTAACTCTGGAAGAAGATAAAGCGCAGACTCCGAAACGTTGTTTTTAAATAAATTACATGGCGATGGATAATGTCCTAAAAGTCAAGTATTGTACAGAATTTTCTGTTTTAAACTGCTGGGAAATTGTGCTTCTGTACATGCCCTACGCCTTGTCTTGAAAGCTCTCCTCTCATAGTGCGTGTATGCAGCACAAGCGCCATGTTTGTTTAATCATTTAATATATAAATATAATTTTAGCAGCCGAGATAGCTATATTGGTTACTGAGATAACCCAGTAAACCAGCTTACAGCAACAGCTACTTGTAACGTTCGGTGAATTTGCGATAAGAAAATGACAGAAATTCCTTCATGCCGTCCTAGAAGGTACAGAAAATTTCTTTTGTCTTAAAGAACCTATGTTCCATATGAAAGCCGCCATGTTTCATATTATTTTCACCCCACTGTACTTATTTGATATATATTTTATTTGTTTATTTGTGACACTTTAAACGACTTTGTTAGTGTCTCGGATTTCGTAGCATAAATTAGCAGGATGACTGAATCAATAAAGAATTAGTACTCGTGTGGAGAGAAGCTGTCGCGGCATGATTTGAAATGCTATTCTGTCATTTGCGTGGAGGGGTTAAAGAGAACTGCGAAAATCCTCTGTCAGGATAGGCATATCCGTGCTATAACTGGAAGGAGGTACCTCCCGAATTCAAGGCAGAAGAAATACCGTTTCAGTTCGTTCATTTTATAAAAAAAAAAAAAAAAATGCGCTTGTGGCATGAAGTGGTCCGTATATCTGTGTGTTCATCCGTCTGTTTCCTAACTCTAATAACTTTTGAACCAGCTCGCAGATTATCTTAGAACGAGGTGTCAAAGTCCTGACACTAAAGGCTTTCGCATGTTTATATTTTGCATCCGTTTACCGTCAGCAGTACCAACATATCAGGCGTGCAAACTTATCAGACGATAACCGCCTATGTTACCTGTGCTTACTGCTCACTTATAAATTTTTATGTGGTAATAAATCTTCAGAGAATGTGCGACCCATGTAAGTAAGTAAGTAAGTAAAGTTGTCCCTGTGCTTAACTAATTAAGCACTACGCTATGAAGACGTATGAAGGAGTGGATATACGAGTATAGATCCACGTTTTCTTGACCTCGACACTTGTTGAATGCTAGGTGTCAGCTTCACGCCCCTACAGCTTTACTCTGGGGGAAGAGCCACCTGTACCCTTTGTATAGGAGGTTGGGTGGACCCCAGAGCCGGTCTGGATGACGTGGAGAAGAGGAAATTCTTGACCCCAGCGGGACTCGAACTACGAGACTCCTATGTCGTCAAGTCGCTATACTGACTGGGCTATCCCGACTCATGTGTCAACAATGTTCATAAGATAATTGTTAGTCCACTTTCTTTATTTAAAGAAAATGAAAGTAGGCTTATGCGATCTCCATTCTGTCTGTATAGCCCCACCCTTATCAACTTTTGAATGGCTGGACTAGTCTTTATGAAATTTCGTATGTATATCATGTCAACTGAGACCATCCCAACGGCATATTTCATAAATTCCTCCCGTCAGTCTGTGTATATGTGTATCCCCTATCTTTACTAGTCAACGGTTCGGTAAAAATATTACCGCCACAACGAATACACATTCAGCAATAGAAGAATTGTTGGACTTGTCGTTTTATATGCGGTCCGTGACGTATCAAGAAAAGTAGGCGATTCGTTCTTCCCAGATCTTCTTGTTTTGTTATATGATGAGTAACCTTCTCAGTGTAGTTTACATTCAAGTAATGATTACATGTATCTGTATCAGTTCCACTGATTTTCTTTTTCCTGAGGAAGGAAACACAGATATTCTTATAAGATGGTTGATTTATGTATATAATCGCACACACAAGTGGCATAAGGTTCCCTTTCTCGTGTCATCTGTGTGCGGGTTTGACAATTTGAGTGAGGGACCCTCTCAATCGCTAGGAACTGCCAAAAGTTAACTGGAACAATCCAATGACTTCATAATTCATAACAAATATCAATGTTTTATTTTATAATTATACATATTAATTATAGAGCATAAACCTTAATAAGGCAAGATTTTAATGAAATACTCGTATAAGGCTCAATGCTTTAATCATAATGGACAATATTATTACAAATTTTATTGCAATAGTTAGGCATACTTCTTAGTGAAATTACGCTCATTAAGTACATAAAACATCTCCAATGGCATTAAATTGCTATAAAATATGAGAGAAAATATGTGACTTACTTATAGGATATATATGTAACATTTACTTACACAATTATGACATGAACAACTATTAAAAACGTCATTAAAAATTTTATTTAAATCATTGAAAATTTGGGCTAAAATATTAAAAGAATAGTTAGAAAGTAAAGTTGTCTCTGTGCTTAATAAAGCACCACGCCATGAAGGTGTGTGGAGGAATGGCTGCATAGCTCCACGTATTCTTAACCTCAACATTGTACTTGTATTACTTATATGCGACCATTTTAGAAATATTCTGTTGACATAAAGTGATCGGTTAGTAGATACAGTACAATTATGACGTATATAGGCCTGCGCTTAGAACAAGTAAGGCAAAATCATGCATTCTTTCTTGGACGCTTCATAAATTCCTGCACATTCTCAGTTTGCAAGCATTTGCTTTGATGAAAAAAGAAAGCTTTATGTAGGCTAACCAGTTCTCTCCCCCCAAAAATTATCTGAAAATTGGTATATTCTGATAAATATATGCAGTGGGTCGGCCATTGTGCTGCAATGCAATAAAATGAGACATACCAGTCTATCTCTGAACATTGTGCATATAATAATTTAGTGGTAATGGGTGAATATTTTATGGATAAATTCATCTATGGTAAAGGTAAAGCTGTCCCCATGCCTAAGCTACACAACATTATGACGTATAGGAGAATAAATATGTTATTCACCGTGCATAGATACAATACTTCCCTTGTATCATACAGTGACGGAAAGTGAAATTCGCTAAATGGCCGTTTTATGCAGAATATGATTGCGGACCAATTTTTGTTGCGGACCTCAATTTGCAATCATGTTCTAGAATATTATAAATTTACAGTTTGGCCAATGATACAGAACTGCCTCTCTTAATAAGCAGTTCTTTTATGAGATGCAATCAAGAAAGCAGTAATTTCATACTAGTAATCCTAAAAATCTCGAACAGGAATCGACTTTTAGCTAATTTATTTTGTTATTAAGATGCTGTAAAATATGCGAATGAATAAACTTTGCAATAAATGAGTTTTCTTTATCACAGATGCATCAAAATCACAGTGCCAGTGTTCTCACATCTGATTTACGTCTTCGCCGTTATTCTGAAAGGGTTCCTTTTATAAGGCAACATCGATTATTTGCGACTTGTTAACTGTGTAGATAAATATTTCAGTGGTGAAGAGGCTTCTTTGAAAAGTTGCTTGTGTTAAAGCAATAATTGTTCTTATGCTGGCGGAAGCGTAAGCTCCTGGTAGAGCCACTAATGCCAGACAGGTCAAAGGGTAAGGCCAGTGTAGTCGGCCCTCCGAATTGGGAGTTGGACGTGGAGCTAACGACCCCATCCAGGAAAGAAAATTACTGTTACGAAACTATGGAGGAGACCAAGACCCACACAGGGTTGTAGCATCAGTAAAAAGGAAGAAGAACATACGTTTCTGCTGCAAGGGAATAGGATTTTTTGTGTAGTAATTAATGCTTAAAATTATTTTAAATCAGTCGTAATTGAGAGGCCGGCTCTTGCATCACTCTCCCATCAAACGTTTGCAGTGAGCTCTGCATGCAGCAAGTCCCCAGATTCTGATGCCTGTGAGTATTTCTCTTGTTGATACCAATTAGTGTGATTCAGCTGCAGAGTGTAGGTCAGACATCTTGTTGAACTTCATATTTACTCTCGTCATTGATGATATGTCGTTTGTGCTTCCCGATGTTCTCTGCTTCTTCTATCGTGTCTGGCAGCTTGGCGTTCAGAGTTTCGGGGAAGTACAGTGCCAGCAATCCGGAGAACACAGACATGGCGCTGAACAGGAGAAGTGGGAGAGATTCCATCACTTCATCCTGGACAAAAAGAAGGATATGTTAAAGAGAGGCGGTATAAAGGACACGAACCAAATTGGTTCTAGGTTTTAACAAATTTTTTAAACCACACCGTAAATAAACTAATTATAATAGTAATTTATAAATATATTAATAAATTCAGGTAGATCGCTGTAGTTGTTAAAGGCTAAGATTTTATATTCATGACATGTTAATGGTATTGTATACATATATGTATTGATAACGACCAATCACATTGTAATAGAAGTGTCTGCATGTCCTTCTGAAGATGGTCGCTCCGACCGAAACATGTCATGGATGAAAGATTAAGAAGGAGAAAGAACGTTTATCAGTCACACTGGACGAAGCTGCTAATATTTTTTATAATATGTTAATAATTAATCAATAATCCGATTCACCAACTAATGACTCTTGTAACTGACTCACTAAGTAACTAACCAGTCGATTAAGTAACTCTCAGGTAGCAGTTCCCAATACTTCAACACAGCTACTGAAGTTCGCCACTGGAACCGATAACAAGCCAGTTACATCCAATCCCATCTTCATAACTCATTTCCCTTAGATAATTTTTGTAATTCCCATAGTGGAGGGTGGAGTCCAGCTGGGTCCACTGGGCACGGCGGCCACTGATTGACCTGTTGTACCTGCTCCGGGTGATTATGATGATGGAGAATTTGGTGGAATGAAGATTTGTAGGGGAAACCTAAGTACTTGGAGAAAAGCTACCCCAGTACCACTTTGTCCACCACAAATCCCACTTGACCAGACCCGGGCTCGAACCCGGGCCACCGCGGTGGGAAGCCAGCGACTAACCGCTTGAGCTGTGGCGCGGCTCTATTTCCCTGAGATGCATCTTAAGCCTAACATTAGCGTAACATAATATTGTCGATATTTAAAGTGACCGCTTTTCAAAAAGCTTTCCTTCCAAATTTCGGTAGGTGTTTCCGCCCTCGTCCGAGCTATACGTTTACCTTATCATAACTTTACTTTTCACTGTCTTAGGTGACTTGCATATGTCGTGAATTGATTCATTATGTAACACGATTCGTCCGTCGTATTCAAAATATTCTCTTGAGCACACTTTTTTGTAGTTGGTTGAGGCACTATGCAACAAGCCGGAAGGTAGATGGTTTGATTCCCTATGAGGTCATTGGATTTTTTTTCAATTTACTTAATCCTTCCAGCTGCACTGTGGCCCTGGGGTCGACTCAGCCTCTAAACAGAAATGAATGCCAGGAATGTTATATTTTAGCGTCCTGTTACACTGATTCATGTCCATGGTTTATGCTGACCGTCTTACAGTGTATACACTTTTTCACCTTATTCTTCACTTCCACAATACATGTTTCAGCACTGCATGCGTTGTACAACGCATGCAGTAACAGGAGCAAAACACAACACAGAACACGATACACAAATATATGTAGGAAGAATGCTCACATAAAAGAGGATTGGCGTAATTCGCGTGTTTGAGTGCGACGTAGGAAGAATCCTGAAAAGTTTTATTATTTAGAATTCATCGTCCTATATGACGAATACAGATTTTAGTCATTTTAGAATGAAGACATTATGGCATGCAGTACAATAGTTTAACGTGCATAAAGACACCTGAAGATGGCACATTAGTGCTGACACATGTAGTGTGGAAGTGAAGAATAAGGTGAAAAAGTGTACACACTGTAAGACGGTCAGCATAAACCATAGACATGAATGCCAAGAATCTCCCTGAGGGTTAAAGGGCGGTCGGCGCGTAAGGCTAACAACCTCACCGCCATCTGCGAGCCGATTCTCTAGAAAATGTGGGAACCTCGATGACTCACAACCCTGTGGGCCTCGGCGGCCTGTTATAGGGACAGCTTTACCTTTTACGCCGTTTTCAAGCACTTCTAAACTATGTTTTTACTTTAAAATAGAAGGCGGCTTACGTATGTGGTCTTCCAGACCTTGGGATTACTGAATCTCTGAACTCTATTCAGAAAGAACACTTTCCGAAATTTATTTCCTTACTCGGGGGAGGCACCTGCCTACATAGATGGGTCCTTCACCCCAGTGACTGAGATTAGAGCTTTCTAACGGACCTAACTAAATAGGAGCTCTTGCGCTTTTTCCCCTTGAAAAAGGAAACAAATCTCGTGTTCGGAACACTGTGTTTTTTCGGAGTATACTAGAATCTGAACAAAGTCCAGATGCTTAGTACTCCCAAATGTAATATTCCATTGCCAGAACTCTTTAGACTTGTTTTGCTCGAAAATTGTTTTGCAAATTCTTCTCGGGCCTTAGGCCTAATATACATATTTTCATGCGTTGACGGTTTAATAGTCTCTCAGACTTCATGTTGTAATGCTAATCAGAATGATTTAGAAAGCTTTGACGTGTGCATATGTTAATGTTTTGTTAGACATTTGTTCGAGACCGACCTTGCGTATTTTACCTTACATGACACTTCAAGTAGAGGAATATAATATTCTGTAAACCTCGGTTCCGTTCATGACACATATTGGCGCTGTAGTTGGGTATGTACTAATGACGGGCACCGTAACGGTACGAATTACAACACACATAGATAATGCAACAAGCAAAAGCAGTATCATAGTAACTCTTCAATATATCTTTAAAATGGTCAGAAAATTTGCAGTTCGTGATGACTAAAAACCATATTTGATGTATTTTACCATTTAACAGATAGAACAGAGTCTTCATGACGCTCAAGCAATCAGCCAATCGTTTCTTTAAGAATTTAATATTCTCGATTGGATTATTTGTTTTAAATCGCCAGCTAATTCAAAGAACAGGAAATGAAATGTTATTGTGGATTTAAAAAGATTTTATATGAGTTTATCCGAAACTATTTTTCGTACGATTACTTAACGGTTATCTCTCTTAGGTTTATTATTATTATTGTTGCTGTTGTTGTTGTTATGGCTCCACAGCTCTTTGCTCGACCTTGGCTGCTTTTTTCTGTTTCTTGATCCTGTACAGTCTGTAGGACTCTTTGGACGGAGCCCATTTTACCTACACACAGAACAACACAAACACAACATAAGCACACGATACAGACATCCATGCCTCGAGTGGGATTCGAACTCAAGATCCCAGCGTTCAAGCGAGCGAAGACCGCGCGGCCACTGTGATCGGCTTAGTTTTATTTAATTTCGATTAAATTTGGCATTGAGGTAGCACACTAATAAAATATATTATTTATACAGGTACAATATATTTCTAGCACTACTTAATGTGAGGTTCCCCTAAACTTGGCACATAATGTAAAATATAGAGATTATGAAGATGTAGATGTCTGAGATATTTTGGATACTTATTTTGAAAAATGTAAGGAATGTCTATTAAGTGATACACAGTTTCACCTAATCATCTATAACGAGGGTAAAGATAAAATTATCCCTGTGCTTAACTACTTAAGCACTACGCCATGACGGCGTATGTGGGGAGTGGATGTATTGATCCACATTTTCTTGACCTCGTCACTAGTTGGAGGTGAGTGGTCAGCTTCAAACCCCCGCGTTACCCCCTGGAAAATAGCCCCCAGTGCCCACTGGATAGGAGGTTGGGTGGACGCCAGAGCCAGTCTGGACGACGTGAAAAAGAGAATTATAACGAGGATAAATATGCTTAATCGAATTACTGAAAGGGAGACGTGATAGGATTTACTACAAATTGAAACAAAGATTTTATTTGTAATTTAAGAGTCACTGTAGTCTTAGTGTAGCCTGTGGTGGTCTAGGCTTTGTAGTTTGCGTCGGTATAGGAATCTAAGAAAATAATACAAAAGAGAAAGAAAGAGGAAACAACTATAGGAGAACCTAATAGACTGCGGACACTAGTCTGTGTACATGTCTGTCAGTAGTCCTGAGTCGCGAGTATACGTGGGCAGTAGATCGAGTCATCAATCCAAACCCCGTCTGTAGTCACACATACACGTGAACAAATGTTCCAGTATCAATCCTTAATATACCCCAACTTCGTCCATGTGGAGAAGTCCTCCTTACCAGCAGGGGTGTCTGAGGTGCCAGAATGGAGCCGATCTGCCCGAACATGACGCAGGCGCCAAGCAGAGAGTGACGCAGTTGTGTAGGAAACAGCTCAGCGTTATATACATACATAACCGTGTACGAGATTGTAATGGCAAACTTGCCCGCCAAGAAGAGCAGCAGACGCACCCAGTCCAAGCCTGTGACACACAGCAAATTGCATCTTATGCAGCAAACTCTACGGAACAGAGGGTTTCGTGAGAAGTTATGAGTGGCTCAGTTGAACAATAAATTCTCTCCCTTTTATAAAACAAAAAATTTTGTTGCTGTACTCACAAGAGCAGCCACTAGTACCAATCCCAAGTTAGATGAATCCAGACATGTTCCAAATGATTTACACGTCTTAATAATAGTAACATCTTCGTAAGTCGAAGCCCTGCAGGAAGGAGACTACAAACTCGGACCCAAATGCGTTGATGACGATGGTCAAATACGTAGATTTTATATTTGTTTTTTGCAGAGACAAATGCATTACTTCAAAGCAGGTGATCATAGGGTCTGTCTTCTTCCCATCATTAAATATTTTCCAAGCCGAACGTCATGATGCTTGATTCTCAAAATACTGAGGATAATGTTTAGACCTAAGGGGGAGGAAGTAACAAGGTTATGTAGAAAATTACATAATGAGGAGCTTCATGTACGTAGGATTTGAGGCCCTCACAGCCGTAGTTATGAAGAGTATGATATTCTTGGATATAACGCCGTGTAGTCCATTGGAAGTAAACCGACGTTTCGGAGGAATATATCTCTCTGTCTACCACCTGCTTTCATGCTGGTTTCTTCCTTGGTTTATTATTCGATCCTGAAAATGAAGGGGTTATGTTCCTCCGAAACGTCGGTTGATTTCCAACGGACTGTACGGCGTTGTATCCCAGAAGATAGAATTCTTCGGAAGCTTCATGTTTTGAGCTTGAAATATTATAAGGGCGATCAAATGATAAAGATTGAAATAATAAATGCGCACAAAATTTTGGTTAGGAGGGGAAGAGAGCACTCTAGGAACCTAGGGGGGGGGGGGCTATACAGATGCTAAAGAAATAGGATCTGGAGTGGATTCGCCTGGCTCAGGATACATTTAGTGGAGGACTCGTGTGAACTTGGTAAGAAAGGCTGTGAATTTCTTTACCATATGAACGACTGTTATAATCTCAAGAAGCACTCAGCTCTGCATTGGCAGTTCTGAGGATCACGTAGCCTGTGGCGCTAAACGTAGTGTCACGTGGTCAGAGGGACCAAGCCATGTGATCGGGCCGCAGCATACGTCACTGGGGCTGACGTACCTGGCGGCAGGAAGGCGAAGGCGGTGCACGGGATGCCTGATATCAGGAGAGTGCTGCACAGGGAGAACTTCCTCCCGAACCTGTTCATGGACAAGTACGTGGCTACGTAGGCAGGCAGTTCGATCAGGGCCGCCAGGATGAAGGACGTGTACTTGTTGCCCCCCACCGACACGGAGATCACTGTCAGCCCGAAATAAACAAACGTAATGCTGACCCTAAAACAAAGCGTACCATCAGACACACTTTTATGTAACTCCATGGACCTGAGTCCTTTTTGAAGACACCAGTAGCTCAGTTACTCAAGGAAGTCCTAACATTTTATGGAAACTAAAGGCTCATTGCCGTGTTTACACGAACTATCCACTGGTCCCTACCCTGAGCAGACCTATTTCTATAAGATCCATTTAAATATTGTCCTTCTAGCTACGTCTAGATCTTGCTATGATGAATCCAGTTCATACCACCTCATCCTATTTCGATAAGATCCATTTAAATATTATGCTTCTAGGTACGTCTAGATCTGGGCCGTGCCATAGCTCAAGCGGTTAGTCGCTGGCTTCCCACCGCGGTGGCCCGGGTTCGATCCCGGGTCTGGTCAAGTGGGATTTGTGGTGGACAAAGTGGTGCTGGGGCAGGTTTTCTCAGAGTACTTCGGTTTCCCCTGCCAATCTTCATTCCACCAATTTCTCCACAATCACCCTCACCTATCACCTGGGGCTGGTACAATGGGCCAGAAGTTGCTGCAGTACAAGAGACTTAGTCCCACTCCACTAGCAATAAAAAAAATACGTCTAGATCTTGCTGTGATGAATTCAGTCCATATCGCCCCATCCTATTTCTATAAGATCCATTTTAATATTATCCTTCCAGCTACGGCTATGTCTTTTATAATGTTGTGGACACTTTCGGCTGTCTTCAGGAGCTAGGTTATTAGAAGTTTTATATAGTTTCTATATTACTCTTAAACTCCGTAGCCTGTAGTCCGTAAGTGAACTATACCGACCGAGCGACCGCCGCTTGTCGGCGAAGTTAGTGCCAACTTTAGCGGATAGAGGGTGTCACGTGGTCAGCGCAACGGATCCCCACGGCTGTTAATATTGGTTTTCTAGACCGGAGTCGCTCGCTGTTTCCTGGAAACAGCTCCTCAGTTATCCTCACGAGGCTGAGTGGATCCCGTTCCAGACTTACTACTTCTCAGAAAATCTGGTAGCGCCGGGAATCAAACCCGGGACCTCAGGATCTATAGCCAGCAACTCTGACCACTAGACTACAGAGGCGGTCTACTATATTACGCTTACATTTTTTAAATGTACTGTAAACACGTGAACTTATTTTTCATCTTGCTTTATTTTCGTATCGTAATTTCACTTTGAGTTACAATAAAATCCCTAGGCTGTATATCGGACCTATGTAATTCTTGTCCTTTATTTGAATATTGTCATTTGCTATCGATAAAGTTCTTACATTATTTTCTTCTCATAAAATATGAACAAAATTAGTTGAGGTGAAATTAAAAGAAACCAAATTTAAGTGCATATGTTTTAAAATCTGCACAATTTTATTTCAATTTACCGTAGGATTTAAACATTTAATAACTGCAACATATAACGTGAATACTTTGATGATAGCCGAAATATAAAGTAATTACATTTAACGTTATTAATATAATGAATATTGAATAATGTGGAAGTAGTATGAAAATAAATACCGACATTAAAACGGCAGTAGTTGTTCGGGCCTTCATTCTCATATAACTGGAATAGTCTGTTTACGATATCCGTAATAATGGAAAAAATAAAATGGCTTATCCCCAAGTTATAAAAGCTTGCACTGCTTTTCAGTACGCTTCACTGGGACGGAAGTCGCGTTATTATAAATACAAATCCATCGTTGCGTGGCTGCTCACGCTATAAATAGCACAACTGATAAATGGATTTTATTTTCCTTATGAGCCTTAATCAGGAAAGTAGGTGACTCACCCAGCTGTCCATGCTGACGTGCCTTTAAACACGCTCATTAACCGGCCTCGGGCTTGGCGAACGGGCTTCGGTTCCAGGTAGAGGCAGACAAACCAGAAGAACGTAAACCATGCGTAATTATTGAACTAAAAGCAGTATAAAACCCCGAAAATCTTAAAATCATAATTTAATCAGTAATAATCCCTATATAAGAATTTGAAGGATATCTAATTAATATGAAATTGTCGAGGACCACCACGTCCAGGAACACACAAGCCTCTATCCAATAAGTATCGTGGGCTCTTTCACGGGGGGTGATGTGGTCGGAATACGAAAGTGACCACTCACATATATCTAGGGCTGAAATAAGAATGCACGGAGGTACAGGTATACCTTCATCCGGCCATACATCTACACGACGCGGTGCTTAATTAAATATAGAAACAACTTAACATTTTAAGTTGGACTTAGTACACAACATATAAAAATATTTCAATTGAGAATTGTCTGCCTACATCGTCATGGGATTTACGTTTTATATTCCACATCAGTTCTTTAAGAAAATTCATGAGAGTTTGATGCAAGTTTTGTGTAAATTAGGGACTGCATTGTACCGACACGAACCGAAATGAAATTTACCTAATTCAAATTATTGTAGGCCCTCCAATACCAAATTTAACCGAAATCCATTTAGTAGTTTCGGAGTTGAAACATAGTTACGGACAGACGGAAGCGTGAACGAAACCTACTCTATAGGTTTTTTTTTCCTTGGCACTACAGCCCCCGTGGGCCTAGGCCTACCTCCATGAACTTCTCCGTTCACTTCGGTTTTTCTAGATCTTACACATTTGGTAGGACTCCTTGGGCGGGTGATCAACTCGTCGCAAGGCCTCTACTTGTAGACAAACACAGAAAAACGCACACAAACATCCATGCCCTGAGTGGGATTCGAACCCACGATCCCGGCTTCCGAGCGAGCGAAGACAGTGCACGCCTTAGACCGCTCGGCTACCGTGGCCGGCTACTCTATAGGTTTACTTGGTGCAGTCTTGTAGAGGATCCATACTAAATTTCGCGAACGGATAATGAACTAATATTCTATGTGTTGCGCTTCCAGTAAGCAACTGTTCTTCTTGCAAATGAATACGTAAACGTAACAGTGTTTGTATCTTCCTGCGCTTACCTTGAGGAATTTATGTCATTCTGTTTGTTCCGATAAGTGCCGAGAACCAAGTGAATGCAAACATACGAGTGTCTTCATTTGCTCTTATAACTGTGCGTATTGAATTTTATTAACTCTGTGACTTTTGTCCGCAAGCGAACTATACCGACCGAGCGACTGCCGCTTGTTGGCGAAGTTAGTGCCAACTTTTTCGGATAGAGGGTGTCGCGTGGTCAGCGCAACGAATTCACACGGCCGTTAATTTCGGTTTTCTAGACGGGATTATTTAGTTAAGAAAATACACGAGATGATTGCATTAAATTGTGTCAGCAACTTGTAGTATATCTAAGGTCGTTCAATGCTGTTCCATAACGAAGGAAGTTGTTAATATATTGTCATATGTAAGAGTGACTCTAGACGGTGTTTGAATTAATGATCGGATTCGTTGAACTCTTTGATACAGCGCGTGACTATACTTCAGAATTTACTATTTAACACACACATACACACTAGTGTCCACAGTCAGGTTTTCGGTAGCCGTTGCTTTGTAGCCTCTTCCAACAGCGGACGTTCCCCTTTCTCTGGGTTCCTGAACTATCCCCGGTCTCAGCTGCCAGCAACTCTCAACTCACTAACTGATTGTCTCTAGATTTGTCCTGCATATAACATCTCGGCACGGACTGCGAAAGAAAACAACGCTTAACATTATTGTCGTATCCAATTATTGCCACGGAAACATGCTTGTTTCTAAAGCCGTTACTCAGTAACGGCTATCCCTGCTGCCTTCACAGATCTTGCCTTGAGCAAATATGCCACGATATGAACGGGAATGAGAAAACTGTTTTTCATATTTCAACCTCGTGTGATCGAGTCTAGAACGTACAGTATTTTGACTGATATTAAGAATGTGTTAAGTGGGTTATGGTTATAATTATATATACGTTTTACGTAGGCCTACCCGCTTAAGACTCCCCACTGTCTACGCCCCATCTTCCGGAATACACAAGGCTCATTACTGGGGTTTTTCTTGAACCATTTCGGATGTTGGACGCTTTGATGAAACATGAGAAGGCTTGCATGCATGGGTACATCAAGAGTAGTTTGCGATTTCCATAACAGGCACATTTAATGATTTTAATGTCATTACAATAATATTCTGCTTTTAAATATCTATGAACAATCACAAAATGTAAGTCCGGTGTCGTCGAGGATCATCTCAGCAAGATACTGGCCTATTTTAACACTGAGTGTGTTGGAAATGTTATACATTTATGTGTTCTATAGGAATCAACTGCACTGAACATTTCAGCGTGATCATCGGCCACGACACTTCGGAGATATTTCATCATATGGAATTTTATAAGTGCAGTTTCTGGGATACTGTTTATATACGTCTGAAGTGTGCAGGGTTTTGGTTTCGATAACACTTACCAGCAAACGATGCAGATGGTTAATCTCATTAGTAAAGTCTTTGATTTGAAGACTTGTGAAAGCGCCGCTTTCCATGGACTTCCGCTTCCGTCAAAACCCTCCTGCAGGCAAGTACGAGACAGCTGTTACATTTCGAAATTTCTAACATGTGGGGCCTCTTACAAAATCTTTATTTTTATTGTTATGAATCTACTAGCTGAAGTGCCTGGTCTTCGGTCGAGTATTTTTTTTGGCATAACATGTAATTGAAATAGCTCATTTATTATGTCATATTCATTCATTCATTCACTCTGCAGCTCATTGTTGGACCCTGACCTCTTCTTCGGTTTCGTAATCTTTATTACACAGCCAGTAGGACTCCTTGGACGGGGGATCAGCCAGTCGCAAGGCCGCTACCTACACACAGGACAACACAAAAACATAATAATAAATGCACACACAGACATCTATGCTTTAAGTGGGATTCAAACACACGATCCCAGTGTTCGAGCGAGCAAAATGGTTCATGCCTTAGACCGCGCGGCTACCTTGATCGGCTAGTATGTCACTATCTTTAATAACTACTGACTTGATGCTTAAAAATATTAATAAATTAATTTCCTTTTTGTATCTTTAAGAAATTTGATAAAAATTGTAGACGTAACACGTGAATTGAGTCATGATAGTGCACTGTAAGAAACAGACATTGAATTCATTTAACTTCTCATTCAGTTCAAGAAAAAAGAATGAAAGGACGTAACATGACACATGTTTCGCATGGTTTATCACCATGAGAACGGATTTTGATAAGATTTGTGATCGGTCAGTCAGTCGGGTAAATTGCTGCTGGCCCTCGACAGCATAGTCAATCTTGGTTTCGGGTCCCGTTGGGACCCATGACCATAATTTTGTTCTTTCCAAGACTTTTACGTGTTTTGAAATGGGGCCCCCTCTTCGACGAGAGGAAAAATATGGCTACAGCTGGTTACTCCCGCTTTAATGGGAGTGATCCTAGGGGTTACTCACTAATTTTCCCTCTCCCACACACACGAACACGCAGTAATCTGGTCTAGTAGAGTAAATTACTGCTGGCCCTCGCCAGCACAGTAATTCTTGATTCCGAGTCCCGTGGGTCTCGTGACTGTTTTCATGTCACTACGTGTTGAGTGTATAATANCGGTAGAGCTTTCGGCATTGATAGCTCTTTCCATTATTTTATCTTATATTGCCTTCTAGGAAATACCAGGAAGAAAGTATGCGAGAGAATGGGGGAATAAAAAATTTTGTGTTATTGATTTATTAGAACTCAAGTTCTTACAAGTCTGACGATACATGCATGTAGTAGAACTGAAATATTCCTACGTGATATTTTAAATTATTTTAAAGCTTGTTTCGTATTATAAGAGACATGTGTGTGTGATTTATTAAGACGACTGAATGGACATATCTGGAGAGAGCAAGCACCCTGCAGACATACTCGCATTCTCCCTTATTCACCCTGTTTTGCATAGAAGAAATCTCTGGGCTCATAAGTCTCTGACATGGTAAACCTTTTTGGAGACATTATGTAAGTTTTGATCTTAAAAAATCAATCTTATTCATAATTACGGCTTTAGGAGCAAGATAAAGAAACCGAATGGAAATACGGGAAACAGTATTGACCACCCACCACGATTATACAAGGCGTCAGGCGTAAAATTATTCAGAGTGATGGTAAAACTCACCTCCGTCTCTTTCTGCTCTGATGACGTTCTGATCTTCCTCATCACATGTTCTGAAAGGCAGACGCCATTTTTCCTGGCTGCACTGAGTATAATGTCGGAGGCCTCCTTTGTTCTTTTCTTTGTCAGAAGCCATCTTACCGACTCTGGAATAAACCTTCAAATGCAGGGTAAATATTACTAGTATTTTATATTACATACACATATGTATATAGGGGGCACACGGTGGTGTAGTTGGTTGAGGCAATATACTACAAACCGGAAGGTCGCGGGTTCAAATCCCGATTAGATCATTGGATTTTTTAATTACCTAATCCTTTCATCCGCACTATGATCCTGGGGTCGACTCAGTCTCTAACAGAATTGAGTAACAGGAATTTTCCTGTGAGTAAAGGGCAGCCGGCGCTTAAGGCTAACAACCTCACCGCCATCTGTGAGCCGACTGTCTAGAAAATGTGAGATTCTCGACGTCTCACAGCCTTGTGGGCCTCCACGTCCTGTTACAGGAATAGCTTTACCTTACCTTTACTATATGTATATAACTGAGATAATGCTAATGTTTGGGTGTGTGTAGTTGGCGATGTCGTTTATCCCGTAAGCCCAAGAAGAGAGGAAGAAAATATGGAAACGTCTTAAAATACAAACAACTCAGAACTTACAAATTATTTTATAAAGTTCAAGTTGTCCATGAGCTTAATCACAACGGCATGAAAATGTATGGGAAATTGAGGTACAGGCCCACACATTCTTAACCTTTGCACTAGGAGGAGGTGAGTGGTTATGTTCCTCTCTCTTTAACCCTGGGGAAGAAGACCCCGGTAGCCATTACATAGGATGTTGGGCGGGTCTCAGTGTCGGCCTGGACAACGTGAAAATGGGAAAAACTCCCTGCATTTAGAAGACTGGAAAATTAATTGGAGTGCAATCTTCTCAGAAGCTCCCCGTTCTTGGTGAACAATTCTAATTTCCGATATTGAACTTTCTTCTTGAGTTTAGCAACTTCTGTTTCATTATGGCGGTTTTCGAGAGCGGTTCTATATATCTACTGGGGCGTAAAAAGAGCACAGGCGACCGAGGCGGCCATACGGGGCGGCACGATTTGCGGATGTCAAATAGGAATCATATTCTCCTACTTTCTTTTTGAAATCGTCGCCAGTCGGTATAGCAACGGGCTGCGGGATATACGTCCGGGGTTCGATTCCCGGTGGGGTAAAATAATTTTTGCTATTGCACAGCGTCCAGTTCCTTGAGCCTCCTATCCAGCGGGTACCGGGGATCAAGCGCCCGGGGCATGAATCTGATCTCTCACACCCATCTAGTGTTGGGGCCAAGAATGGTGGGGCTATATCTCCAGTCCATCATACGTCTTCAAGGAGTGGTGCTTAATTAATTAAGCACAGGGACAGTTCACCTTTACCTTTTCTCACCTCTCTGTCATTGATTGGTAGTAATCTAAACGTGTTATGCAACAATGTAAATACAACTTTAATAATCACGACACCAGTGAGGGGTTTCATCACCGTGTCTGGAGGTTTCTTATTTTAACCGTTATGAAATTCGAAGAAAATTTATCTCTCTTTGCCTGGGTGGGGATAGGGATGGCGTGGGGGTTGTTTTCGTCGTCTGTGGCGGTATATAGGCTTGCACCTGTCATGCTTGGCGCATAAGTAGGGAATGAGAACAGATTATATGCAGAAATGTCCTTTCCTTCCTTCCCCTGAGCGCTTCAGCTTTGGCCTCCTGAACAATCTGTCTCCATTCTTCTCTATTCTTCATCTTTCCTCGCCATCCTTTCACTTCCATTTTACGGAGATCATGCACATCCTCCAAACATCTCAGCTCCTTCGCTGATGTCGAGTTCTGTTCAGTCCATCCTTCCGAGGCTGAGTGTTTGGTTTCTGAACAATTTAGTCTTTAAGGTGTGAGGTTGTTAGCCTCACGCCCAACCCCCAACCTGGAGGACCAGGGTATCCCTCTTCGTCTGGCTTCTACCCTTTGACCTGTCCGGCATGGGTGACCCTACCAGTAGCTACGCCGGCATAGCTCTCAGGGTCTCAGGAGCACTCAAACCCCACCACCACGATAAGGTGGAGACACCATCGGTGGGGTATGCAGAAATGTACAAATCTGAATATAATTGAGAAAGAAAAAGCTTCAGAAATCTCCGTTACGCGTGTAGCCTGAAATCTTACCAGTAATAAGATATGCACAGTAATGATGGAAGGTATGATGCTCTCAGGATGAGCCTCCAGTTCTGTAGCCACCAGGCGATGATTCCTGTCAGAGCCTGCCCTATCGCGTAGAATGAGGTAATCATTGTTGCTGCGAAAACTCTGGATCGAGGGCCGACCAGTTCCATCCCTGCACGCACACATATAAATATAGAGCAGTCCAGAGAGAAACTACAGACATAAATGTAGTATCATTAGATTTACAAGGAGAAAAATTTCAGTGACTGAATTTTGTCAAAAGAATCGTTACAAATATTATGGCAGGGATGTAATTAAAACATTAACTGATGTCAGCTGGGGCACGCGGTAGCGTAGTTGGTTGAGACACTATGCCACAAGCCATAAAGTCGTGGGTTCGGTTCTCAATGTCACTGGATTTTTTTTTTTCAATTTACATAATCCTCCCAGCCGCACTATGACATTGGAGTCGACTCAGCTTCTAACAGAAATGAGTACCAGGAACCTTCCTGGGGGTAAAAGGCGGCCGTTGCATAAGGCTGACAACCTCACCGCCATCTGTGAGTCGATTGTCTAGAAAATGTGGTATCCTCAACGTCTCAGAACCCCATGGGCTTTCACGGCCTGTTACAGGGATAGCTTTGCTTTTTACCTTTTTCTTTTAATGCTAGTGGGTGGGACTAAGTCCCTTGTCCTGTGGCCACTTCTGGCCTATTGTACCAGTCCCATATGATAGGTGAGGGTAATTGTGGAGCAATTGGTGGAATGAAGATTGGCAGGGGAAACCAAAGTACTCGGAGAAACCCGCCCCAGCGCCACTTTGTGCACCACAAATCCCACTTGACCAGAACCGGGATGGAACCCGGGCCGCCGCAGTGGGAAGCCAGCAACTAACCGCTTGAGCTATGGCGCGACCAACCTTTTATCTCTACTAAGATGTCAGCTGCCTGTACAGAAACTGCCATTCGGCCATGTAAGAGAGACGCCTTCATGAATCTCAGTCTGGCTCAGGCGCTGAATCAGTACAACCCAACGATATTTCAGGATTGCATTTAAGTAATTATTGATTATAAATAAATGTGAACCAGAAACAGGAAGCTGCATTATATCGGCGTAAATATATACTATTTACTTTTCTAATAAAGAAAAGTCTGCGTCGTGAGGAACCAGGATGTTATCATTTCCATGGAGGTGTTTGCCAGTAGAGAAAGAATGCTTTTGTATGCAATTTGCCTTTTTATGCAGGCCGTGGTTCTCAATATGAATTCTGGATTGCGCCTGAAGAGAAATGAGAAGTGTAGCAGTGGCTGCATCTGCAATGAGGGAGTGAGAGAAGGTGACTCTGCGTAACCAAGGCCCTACACATATTCTAGAGTCCCTATCTCAGTTAGTGAACCCAAAGAAATCGGTCAGCTGAGAATAATCAAGTTTAAAGATACGGACAATGTTTAAGACCAAAGTCACAAGCCAAAAGTCCATCCTACAGACGCTTCCATACGTCTATTTTTACTGAACAATAAATATTCTCAGTTTCCCTCGATGTTTTATTTGTCTTTACCTCTCTCTGGTTCTCTCTCATTTTTCGTAATTTCTTTACTTTATTATTTCTTTCTGGCCTCTCTCTCTCTTTCTGTATTTTTGTAGTCAAAGTATTTTGCACGTACTTGTTCACAGTTGGACTTAATCCTCTCCCATCTGCGGCAGCAATGTTGCATCTGAGATAAATTCCAAGGGAATGCAATAAGTCTATATGGACACAGAACAGTACACATCTAAGTAGACTTTTCTCCACTCAGTTCTTGTTTATCCCTTTCTTTTCCTGCCTTTAACAAGTCCCGAATTTTAGAGATAATTTACTTTAATATTGTAACGGATTTGATCAACGCGTTGCCAGGCAACAGCTCTGTAAACACGGTCAAACAGGCAACAATAGAGGAGGCTGTGTTGGCCGTGTCCGCAGTGACGTCACGCAGCGGTGGGTGGTGGTCACGTGACATGTGTTTCCTATGATGCGTGCCCGTTCCTTGGCTACAGAAGTGACAGAATCCGTTCGGTTCGGGGACGAGTCTGTTGTTGATAGGAGATAGCCACAGGAAGTTCGTAGTTGAAGAAGAGTACAAGAAGTCAGGCTGTAAAGATTTAACGTGTGATTTAAAACTTTATATGTGCTATAGCACAGTGTTATTGGGAGTGTGTGATTTAATGAGACTTTTATAGTCCCTATGTTATAAATCCGTGAAGACTAGTGGAGATAAACTGAAGAGATTAGCGTGGAGTGCTTTTAGTGTGAAAATCAGTAACAGTTTTATAATTGATTGTTATTACACCTTGTAAGTGGTTAATAAATACAATTACCAACCAAAACCCGCGTCTTAGTCACTGTGACATGTGACAATATTCTGTCTATATTATCGGAACCAGATAAATATTCCGAGAATTTTACGGGTTTGTGATTAATACAAGTTCCGCCATAGATATTTTCAGTGAATAAAGAAAAGGTGCTTAAGTCTCGCATTGCTACGAACAACTACAAAGCATGAGGTAAAGCTTCGGAATAGACATATAGCTTGTTATTTAAACTCAAGTTAGTGATACGAACCCAAGACCAATGCAGACGTGTAGACGCCGGTACCGAGAGCCGGGTCCAGAAATTCGAAGAGAAGGAAAATTTCATAGCTCCACGCGATGGATCGAGCCACGCCCATCAGACAAGAAAGTATCATAGATGCTATCAGAGTTGTCTTACGTCCAATTCTGAAAACACGAAAGGGGGCGGAAGGAAATTATAGCAATAAGCACACAAACCTGAAATGTTAAACAAAATATGAATAGGTATAATTTTTTCTAAACAGACCGACCGCTGTAACGAAATATATTTGCAACTCGACGACATGAAACCATTCATGTAGGCCCTCGTTGTTTAAATATATGTTACATGTAGCTATGTGGACAATATTAAAATGGATCTTAGAGAGATAGGATGGGATGGTATGGATTGGATTGATCTGGCTCAGGATAGGGACCAGTGAAGGGCTCTTGTGAACACGGTAATGAATAGGGACCGGATTTTATGCCCTAATAATCCCTTAAATATGTATGCATTTATGCATGAAAAACTTCCGAAATATGCATTAAAATATGCACATAAATTTTATATTAAATATTAAAAAAGATTTTACATTATTTTAAGACCAACAGATCAATATTTAAGTTCATTTTATGTAATCACTGAATGATTCACTTGCAATAAAAAACTATACTTAAATACAAATCATGCAACAAAGCCAACATATTTCATTACAAATTTAAAAAACCATTGGTACCCACATTTAGCTCTCCGAACTTTCAACTTCTCTTTTGTTGCAGTTCACAATTACTAAATGTTTTAGGTTTTCCATAGTTAGTCGCCTCCTATTGTCTCGTAAGATTCCCTCATAGCGGGAAAATCTTGTTTCCACCTCAGAGGACCTTTGGGGCGCATGTATAAAAGCCGCAATTTGCCACTGTTAGTGATTTTTACTTGGCAGTTCAGTACGGTTACCGGCTAAAATTTCTTCAATTTCACACATTTGTTCATGTCCTGGATTTTTTAAAGAATACTGTGTACTTTTTCCTTTACTACTTCACCTACTCTTCCAGGAACCGAATTCAATTTGGAAACAGTGGTTTTGAACACACTTAACGACTGATACAAAGTAGTGTTGCTATTGCTTGCCTCCAGTGAGGAAATGGCGGATGGAAAATGAGAGAAGTGAGCAGATATATAGGAAAGATTAGTTTCTAGTTCTGCGTTTTTAGTACATGTTGGGCAATTTGAATTGACGCTGCACTTTTGGGATCAAATGTATTCNGAAGAAGCGTAACGAACCTTATGGAGACTTCGGAAATAAATAAGCAAAGTCCTTAATCGGTTGGATAGTATTACGTTGATAGTGGCTACATGTGGACGCTTCCGACTAATCTCTTCGCGGCCACTTTGATGATACGCGGATGAGGCAAGTTACGAGTAGAGGGATCGGGGAAGTCCCGCCCTGGGTATTGCATCAGAAACATGAATCATGACGAAATGTTGAGTCAAATATGCAACATATTCTAATACGGGGAAAAAAATGTATACGCACGACCACGATTGAAAATTTGAACATAAAAATAAAAAATATTATGATAAACATTTTAAAAAGGAAATATGCAGTATAAATAGAGATCTTCGAAAATATGATGCTTATTCATAAAACAGGCAAAATATGCATTTATATGCACCATCAAACCATGTCCAAAATTTAAGATATGAAGTAATTCTTACATATATCCAAACGAGCATACTTTCTGGTTACAAGAAAGAAATATGCATTTGCATTAAAATCCGGTCCCTAGTAATGAACCTTCGGGTTCCATAAAATGCTGGGAAATTGTTGAGTAGCTGCAGATTTGGCTTCTCCTCAAGAAGGGCTCAGCTCCATAAGTAAGTAAGTAAGTAAGTAAGCAGTTTCGTAATCATTTTTATAAAGACGGTAGGACTCCTTGGACGAATAATCAGCCCGTCGCAAAGCCGCTATCTACACACAGAACAGCACAAACTAAGAATAAAACCATACACACATCAAACATTCATGCCTTGAGCGGGATTCGAACCCACGATCCCAGCTTTCGAGCGAGCGAAGACAGTTCATGCCTTAGACCGCGCGGCCACTGGGATCGGCGCATGGAACTATAACTGCACTACAAAACACTTGAAGAACTAACGAAGAGAATAGTGTGGAATGTCAAAAGAAAATTTGATATAATGAAGCAGAACCGCTTGCAGACATTTAAAATATTCGTAGCCCCTAAAATTGTTACCAACGCATAGAGGAATTTATAAAGTTAATTAATCGTAACATTGGCAAACATGCATTTCACTATGGGCCCTGTGTATAATAATATAATTGCTGTAAAGTTTTAAGTATTGCGAATACGTTTTGCGCTCGTAACTGCGGAACTATCCTGTCACTATCATATCTAACTATCCTATAAAGCCTGCTCTATAACTTGCTATAACAATTCCCTGCTGTAAGCTGCTTTTTTTGTGGATTGCGCAAAATGATCTTAGCTACTGCACTATCTCCTTTCATTCATTCAGTTTACATCCGTTCCTTAAAAAAAAAAGTTTAATACACCACCATGATGTCTGTGTGTTTGTTCCCTAATTTCAAATTTTGGTATGGACGTTGTCCCATTAGAGCCCATTCCAATGCCGTACATTTTATTTTCCTATGATCAGTAATGACGTCATGGCGGACGTACGAATTTGTGAGGTAGGAGCAATAGCAGAGCCATTTAATCTTACTTATTAATTAATTAATAACGATGATATCCTCACCTAGTTATACCTCTCTCTTTTTTTTTCCTTGGCACTACAGCCCCAGTGGGCCTAGGCCTACCTCCATGAACTCCGTTCACTTCGGTTTTTCTAGATCTTACACATACGGTAGGACTCCTTGGGCGAGTGATCAGCTCGTCGCAAGGCCTCTACCTGTAGACAAACACAGAAAAACGCACACAAACATCCATGCCCTGAGGGGGATTCGAACCCACGATCCCGGCTTCCGAGCGAGCGGAGACAGTACATGCCTTAGAGCGCTCGGGTACCGTGACTGGCTATACCTCTCTTTACCTTTAACAAAAATGTATTCCAGGAATCTTCTTGGGGGTAAAGGGCGGCCGACTCGTAAAGCTGACAACATCACCTCCATCTATGAGCCGATTGTCTAGAACAGTGGTTCTCAACCTTTGTGAGACCGCGGTATAATTGATGTCAGGACCCTGTACCGGATCGCGGCCCAACGGCTGAGAAACACTGGTCTAGAAAATATGGGAACCTCGACGTCCCTCAACAGTATGGGCCTCCACGGCCTGTTATAGGGATAGCTTTACTTTTGTTTTGTTACCTACTGTATGCTTCAGTTCGAGAAGCATCAAAATGCAAGTGATCAGTAGACAGATTCCAGGCTTTGTAGTTATCATACAACAGATCAGTTAACTCTGGGGCTGGAATGTGACACAGGCGGGGTGCAACCTATTAAAATCCTTCCTTCTTGCTATGGCATCGTCCAGTTAATTGTCCAACGAAATTCTGCAGCCGCAGGATCACAGAGAACGCAGCCGCGTTGTTGTTCATCAGGAAGACATTTCATATGAGTCATAGTTGACCCTGCCAGTTAAGTGGTCAATAAACCCAGGCTCTTGACAAATTTAGTTTAACCAATAAGAAAACAAATGAATTTTTATAGAGAAAGGTATAAGAACAAGTCAAATGAATCAATTGCTTTCCCGCAGGGAAGTGGACATAGGCCTATTCAGATGGGGGCAAGTAATGCAAATAAAAATATTAATGGCCCAGTGATTGTGGGCACAGAAGATCCAGTTGGACAGAAAAATTCCTACTTTGTGTGTACAACAACAGCGCACTGTTTACAGCTTGTACTGAGTTAAATAAATTTGGTTAACAAAGCTGGTTAAATGAACTCCCCTATCCTTGCTACTGCATGAGGTTCGTAATAGGATTTATTAATATCTGACAGAACAACCCTAAAATTTCAACATCCCTGACGCCATAATCCGCCACTGGACACCATCCTAAGTCAATTCCATCCACCTATCATCCTAAAAATCCATTCCAATTGTGTTCTTCCTTCTTCTCAGTTTTCCAAGTGGACTCATCCAAGAGGTCGTCCCGTCAGCGTTTTGCAATGGATCTGTCTCTCTCCCCACCCTAACCGCTTGTCCAGATCATCATGGCGTCCTGTATCTCATCATAGTAACAATACCAGTGACCTGCATAAACAACGAAATTCCTCGCTATGAAGGGCTCTATCTTCTGGGGTGTAACGCCGTGTAGTCCGTTAAAAGTCATCCGACGTTACGGGGAACATATCGCCTCCATCTTCAGGGTCGAATAAGCCAAGCAAGGCACCAGCATGAAAGCAAGTAGCAATGCGACCTCCTTTCACGCTGGTATATTGCTCGGCTTATTCTTTTACCCTGAAGCTGGAGGCGATATGTTCCCCGAAACGTCGGCTGTCTTTCAACGGACTACACGGCGTTATGTCCCATAAGTCAGTAGTCTTCACAACCACCGCTGTGTGAACCTCAGATGGGAGTCAGCACTTCTTGTAATATGATTCGGTTAAGTATACATTAAATCTCATTGAATCACCTTCCAGAACCAGCCCAAAATCTGGCACTCAAGAACTCACCTGTCAGAAACCAAGCCAACAACAGATAATCCTACGAACTGTCCGATGTTATTCACAGTGCCCACTATCGTTAGCTTCCAGAGATTCTCTTCGCACGTTAGGTCCCACTGGAAACACAACGGCAACATTAATAATAATAATAATAATAATAATAATAATAATAATAATTTGTATCTGGTATAATGTATGTGGATGCAGAGTTCCACCAGAACGTAGATACCAATCTACCATACTATACGGCGTCACATCCCAGAAGAGTGTAATCTTAAATCTGTCCTCTTATTTATGAAAATGTCTTTCAACTGGTGTCTTCTCTTCAGATTTTAGACTGAAATCTTGCATTCTAGGCATTACTTATTCCTCCCATTCATCCTGCACGCTTTCCGCTTGTCTGTTCCCTTGAGTTAAGTACTGTAATACAAAAACACACTCTGTGGCTTGAGTCCATAAGCGAACTAGACCGACCGAGCGACCGCCGCTTGTCCGCGAAATTAGTGCCAACTTTAGCGGATAGAGAGTGTCGCGTAAGTACTGTAATAACACAGAAATACTTTTTTTGTTTTTACTTTTTCCATCGTCCGGAATTCTAGGTAATAGAGGACACGACGTTTCGGAAAGAGATCTAGTTTCCGAAACGTCGTGTCCTCTATTATCTAGAATTCCGGACGATGGAAAAAGTCTAAAAACTCAGTAATTCTGTGTGTCGTTCACCATCGTCAGAACCCTTTAGAATCTACCGTAATAACGTTTTGTAAAGAGTAATATAATATTAAGTAACTCCATGGAGCTGTCATTCTTGACAAGCCGCCAGTCGTCGAGCCACTAGATAATTTCGCAACATTTTATGGAACCTGAAAGTTCATTATCATGTTCACAAGAGCCCTCCACCGGCCCCTATTCTGAGCCAGATGGTAATATACTGTCACGTGCTGGGTATGTCACGCGACAAATAACTTCACGTGGGTCTCGGATTTAGCGAATCTTTATTGGACACTCACACTTACACACCATACAATTATTGCCACTTGCAGTATCGCCTGACTTATGGGCTAATATTTCAGTACTCAAATTTCTGATACTCAATCTTCAATACGTGTCATAAGCTCGGCTTATGTAGGTGTTCTGCGGACTGGATACCATTTCTTACGGTTTCGTTTCTACTGTCCGCTGTTACGTAATGGGTCTTCAGTTCATCTCCGTGGAGAATCGGCGTTCTCTACGCAACGGCTCACTGTTAGAATTGTAATATCGCTATTGTTATTTCCTATGCAACGGTCTGTTCTAGCGTTTCCATGGAAGTAACCCTTTTGGATTCCAAACATGTGACAATACTATATATTCGTATATATATCGTATAATATATATACAGTATATCGTATAATATATATTCGTAATATACGCTCACAAATACAGAGTGGTTCTAAACTATTGATAGACAATTGTTTAGAATCATATTGCATTGTTAAGTGGCTGCTAGAGATACGTACAGAATCTGCTATTACTGCTACCAGCAAAAGTCTCATATGGTTCTTAGTACAATATCACTGCCAACGATTATCCATCTCTCATATATTCTATACCTGTAGTAACATGCAGATATCTCTACACGTATACAAAGTATATAATATAATTCTGGGGGCACGCAGTAGCGTAGTTTGTTGAGGCACTATGCTACAAGCCGGAAGGTCGTAGGTTCGATTCCCGATGAGGTTATTGGCGTTCTCAATTGACCTAATCCTTCCAGCTGCACAATGGCCCTCGGGTCGACGCAGCCTCTAACAGAAATGAGTATCAGGAATCTTCCTGGTTGTTAAAGGGCGCCCGGCGCGTAAGGCTGACAACCTTACCGCCATCTTTGAGCCAGTTATCTAGAGAAAATTTGGGAGCCTCGACGTCTCACATCCCTATGGGCCTTCAGGGCCTGTCACAGGAATAAAAAAAAAAAGTAAAGCTATTCCTGTAACAGGCCATGAAGGCCCATAGGGTTGTGAGACGTTGAGGGTCCCACATTATCTAGACAATCGGCTCAAAGATGGCGGTAACGTTGTCAGCCTTACGCGCTTTACTCCCCAGGAAAATTATTTACTTAATTCCTGGTACTCATTTCTGTTAGAGGCTGAGTCGACCCCAAGGCCATAGTGCGGCCGGAAGGATTAGGTCAATTGAAAAAAAAATCCAATGACCTCATCGGTATTCGAACCCGCGACCTTCCGACTTGTAGCATAATGCCTTAACCTATCTTTACCTTTTTTGTTTTACAATGTGATTCTAAACTATTGTCGGACATTAGTATAGAATCACGCTGTACACTATTATAGCCTACTTCTCTCAGGATCGTAGTTTCCTCGCCGTCATAGACCCATCCCTCGCAACTGGTGACGCTGTTGTTATCGAAGCTTTCAGGCGAGCACGAGGAATCGTTTAGTTCTGCATTTTCACTCAGGAAGGAGGAGTTACGAGGTTCGTAGCGGAGACAGCGCCGAGGGACAGACCGTCCGTCATGCTGATAGAACGGCACAGCGTTCTGTAACCAGTCAGGCCGGAAAGTCGCCTCCTTGCCGTCACAACCTGGAATGCGACATCTGCAGGAAGACAGAGAAATGTGTTTAAAATGGAAACGTGCCTCTATCTTTGGTCGCAAGAATGTACAGTGAAGAGTAACGTAACCTTTACGAAATGATGACTATCGAACGTAAAGAAGAAATGAGAAATAAGAAATGATTGACAAAAAGGACTGTGTTGGAGGTCTGAAAAAATAAATAAATAAAAATGAAGGAAAGATAGAAAGAGAAAGATGAAGGTGGAAAAATATAGGGATGTGAAAGAATTAGCACGCGGTAGCGTAGTTGGTTGAGGCACTATGCTACAAGCTGGAAGGTCGCGAGTTCGATTCCCGATAAGGTCATTGGACTTTTCAATTGACTTAATCCTTCCAGCTGCACTATGTCCCTGGGGTTGACTCAGGTGCTAACAAAAAATGAGTACCAGGAATCTTCCTGGGGATAAAGGGCGGCCGGCGCGTAAGGCTGACAACCAGGCCGCGCCATAGCTAAAGCGGTTAGTCGCTGGCTTCCCACCGCGGCGGCCCGGTTTCGATCCCGGGTCTGGTCAAGTGGGATTTGTGGTGGACAAAGTGGCGCTGGGGCGGGTTTTCTCAGAGTACTTCGGTTTCCCCTGCCAATCTTCATTCCACCAAATTCTCCATCACCATAATCACCCGGGGCAGGTACGATAGGCCAATCAGTGGCCGCCGTGCTCAAGAGGACCCAGCTGGACGCCACCCCCCACTAAGTGAATTAAAAAAAAAGGCTGACAACCTCACCTCTGTCTGTGGACGATGTTGTCGGCGTCTCTGAGGAACGTGCTGCCTCTATCTTCAGGCTCGAAGTCTACGTACGTCGGCCCTGAGGGTGGAGGCAACATCGCTCACATTTCACACGGCGTATGAATGTATAAGGGGTGGGGCGTTCTTGGCCCTTGCACCGCGACCACAGTGATCTATTGTGCCTTTCAGACGGTGTAACAACGCGAGAACGGAGCTGAACAATCTGATGTTTCACAGAATTTCTGGGTCCTTGGACTTTTTCCATCATCCGGAATTCTGTGTGTCATCCACAATCGTCAGAACCCTGAAGGACCTATCAGTCTGATGTTTATTTCAGTTTCTGTTCAAACCCGAAGCCACGCTTACTGGTTTCCGACTTCTGCCGCTAGAGGACCACAACGCTAGTGCCGTTGTTACAGCCGGTATTCCTTGCTCAGTCGATCAACATACTGCCATCAGTACTTTTATTTTCAACTTTGGCCATTGATTGTGCGTATCATTTTCAAATTTTGCTTGATTTAACCCAAATTTACTTCTACGAACATTTTAATTTAAATTTAGGATATACCTAAACACAAATGCCCTACGTTTAAACGTGTACAGATCCCTCCCCCATATTTTTTGTTGTAAGAGTCTCTTGTAAGTTTCACAGATATTTTTAACTGCCCAATTACTATCCAAGGTTGTATTTCTGCTGTATGTTTAGTAACATAAAACCCAGGGAGCAACTGCACGAAATTATCAAACACGCGTGAAGTTCAGTTTTCTCACGTAAGAGTTCTGTAGGAGGGGCTGGGTTTCTAAGCAGTGTGAAGCTCTGTAACAAATCAATAATAATAATAATAATAATAATAATGTATTAACCACCTACCTTAAGAATAAAGGATTCTACATTTTCCACACAGAGTGTAGATGGCTTTAGAGTGATTCTCACAACAAACGACTGTCTCCCTATAGCACTACCCGGTTCAGCTCCAAAGGACGACGCAGTGTGAAGTAGAAACCTTTTTTTTTTTTAATATTTAGATGAATTTTAGGCGCCAAATTGTTAAAATTAAATATGTTCACTGATAAAGATAAAACAAGCGTCTAATATTCTAACATACGATAACTAAGAATGTTAATTATAAGTTAAGTGAATCCTTTGCTATGCTTAAATTGTGATCATTTGGGTTGGCGTAATCCAGGTCACCGCTGCGAAAATTTAGATTGTCGTCCAGCTTATGACTCCATGTTGTTCTGGAGACCGCGTTTGTGCCTTGTTCATGACAAGTGTAAAGACACCGAAATGAGGACCCATCCAGTGACATGATACTGACATGACGCCTGAAAGCCGGAATAGTGGAGCCAGAGCAGACGTCCATTGCTAGGCAGCGGCTCGATAAACACATTCTCGCTGCAACAATATAACGACGTTTGTCGTTGAATCGGCGGAAGGATGGACAGATAATGCAGTTCGACAGAGGGCTCACAAAGAAGAACTACAATACTGACGATTGTAGCGGAATTAACATGCTTTAGTTCATAGTTTATTCCTTCTTTCTTAGTCTCTACTGTTGAATGTCTCATTCGGTTGCTTCTTTAATGTTTAATGAATGGATTATTAATTAATAATTATTTTTCTATTATTCTCTAAGGCATTCACACGAAAGCATTTGAACAATAAAAAAAAAGAGTCTGAAATTTACAGAATTTCATTGTGAAAGCGCTACAATAATTCTGCTTCCATTTTTACCTATAATTCAGATCTCCAGCTGTGAAAATGAAACTGGCTTCAAACATGGCTGCAAACAAAATGGCCACACTGAGTAGTAGGTAATTGGTGGCCTGGAACTTTCCAAAGTGTTTTAGTTCGTCCAGCACTTCGTCGAGATCCATAGCGGTTTTGAATATCTGAAAAATACAGAGTAACTCAACAAATAACATGTATCAGAAACTCCTGAGGGGTAGTAAACAGTCATTTTCTGAGTTTCAGAGGTTAGGATTACCCAGGCAGTCTTTACAGAAATATAATTTAGATGCTGTGTCTTAGTCTGCATTTCTGCTAAGCCTGAAGTCAAGACTCTCCTTATTAGCTTGGGGAAATGCAAATCAAGAACCAAATGTCGCAACTTTTGTTTCATTATATTTTTACAGAATGATTTTTTCACACCTTTACTATACGTAATCTGCCCTCCCCGCTAGGCTGTGACGTCACACAACAATGGAGTCCGTGCAGCGACCGTTGGTATGCAATCGGTCGGTAAATACGTTCCAATAATATAAGCTGTTTTCTGTGTGGTCCACGAGAGGCCTATGTAAGGGGGTTCAATGCACCCAAAGAGTAACTAGAAATAGGGCATAATCTGCTGTGCCGAGCCTGGATTGACAGAGGCCTTGTATATATTGTACATAGATGTAGGAATTAAGATTAAATTGTAAATATATGTAAATACTGACAATGGACTTACTAACACAGACTATGACTGACAAATGACAGACCCGACCTCTCGTCAGAGAGGGCGCCCCAAATGAACAAGACAGTAACTTTCATATAAAGAAAAAAATCTGGTCATGAGCCCCAGTCGGGGCGCGACACCAAGACAGACAGACTGACTGACCGTCAGTCGCAATGTGACTTTGACTTTGACTTTGACTTTGACCAAAGAGTAATAAAGTAATAAAGAGTAATAATAAATAAGTGATTATCCCGTGTGGAGGCCGGATCCAATACCTCCACCCACCGTGACCCTGCGAGTCGTAGGAGGCAACGAAAAGGGAAGTCTCAATTCTGAGGCAGTAAAATGTGGTCGCGAGTCCCAAGGGACTCGGACCCGAGTAAGACTGCGCTGGCAAAGGCCAGCAGCATATACAAAAGACAGACCCGTCCTCTCGTCAGAGAAGGTGCCCCACAGAAACAATACCGTAAATATCAAACGGTAATAATTAATATCTGGTCATGAGCCCCAAATGGGGCTGGACACCAAGACTTACTGACTGACTGACTGACCGACCGTCAGTCGCAATGTGACTTGGACTTGGAGGCAGTTCAGTGAAATTCATTCTGAAAATATTCCAAAAGCACATTGAAGAAAGAGGCCTGCTTAACACAGGCCAGTTTGGTTTCCGTACACGTCACAGCACGACACTGCAATGTGTGAGGCTAGCAGAGCACGTGACCCTTAATTTCAACAATAATATGTCTACGGCTGCGGTGTTCTTGGACATCTAAAAAGCCTTTGATGCTACAAGGCACTCGAATTTACTATAGAAGTTGTTAAAACTGAAGTTTCGACCAGCTTAATCGAGCTTATTGGATCATTTCTTTCACAACGAAAATTCAGTGTTTCGGTGTAAGGACCACATGGATTCGATTCTCGTCACGGGTCCACCGACCCTCCTGTCCTGTGGGTATCGGGTTCAGTTTCACGTGGAGTAAAACAAGAATAGTGGTCATATTTATGGAACATACTTCAGTGACAACGAATACATAGAAATTATTGAGTTCCCACAGCGACGACTCGAATACCAACAGGCCGTTGCCTGGGAATGTCTGTAAGAACAGATTGTTCGTTGCGTAACAACGGATGAAACCAAACACTTCTGCAAGGTGTTCTGTGTTCAGTAAGGCTAGCATATCCTAAGTAACGGATCGTTCGTTGCCTAACAACGGATGAAATTAAACCTTCGATAAGGTATTCACTATTCCATTCGTCCGCCGGATGTATAAGAGAGTCGCAACGTGACTTGGACTTTGACTTTGACTGTGAGAGTTCAGTGTCACGAGTGCCACGAGTATCACAAGAGATTCAGAGTAAAATCACAGTTTGTAGATCACAGCAGAGGATTCGACTCTAGCAAGTAAAGGAAGAGGAAACGGAAGTAAAAATGTTGAGAGTAGTGAATGCTGCAGGACAATCCATGTTTCGTCATGTTTTGTCTGGATTGGTGAATAATCAGAAGAATGGAGCGTCCCTTCTCCGGGTATCTGCATGTTATCCGCAGATGCAGAGACATATGTCAGCTCAACACAATTTTCCTCGCCATCCGGTTCCACCTCTTACGCAAACGCTGGCTAAATTTGTCAGGTCAGTGCAACCCCTTCTGTCACCATCAGAGCTCTCTACTACAAAAAGTCTTGTGAAAGACTTTGAGGAAGGAGATGGGCAGAAACTTCAACAAATTCTAGAAAACAGAGCCAGAAACATGGAGAGCTGGTTAGCTGACTGGTGGCTTAATGCAGCATATTTGGCATACCGACTTCCTGTAGTTGTTCATTCAAACCCCGCCCTTGTGTTTCCACGTCGGCATTTTCAAACAGAAGAAGAATTCCTAAAATATGCTGCTGACCTCACTTATGCTGCCCTTAACTACAAATCAGACATTGATAATGATAAAATACCCATTGATAAGATGGGTAAACAACCATTAGATATGACTCAGTATAAGAGGATATATGGTACATGCCGAATTCCAGCACCAGAATGTGATAAAATGCATTTCACTGATCCATCACGTCCTGTGCACCATATTGTAGTTGCAAGGAATAATAATTTTTTCAAGTTCTGTGTCTATGACAGCAATGGTGAGATTATAAGTCCTGCTAAGCTCCTAGTGGGGTTGAAAACAGTGTTAAATGCCTCTGAGAAACCAGGAGAAGCTGTTGGAATTCTGACAAGCGAACACCGAGATACATGGGCAAGAGTACACAGTGACTTAGTGAAAGATGCAAGAAACCGCAGAAGTGTAGAAGCTATTCAGACTTCTCTGTTTCTTCTCTGTCTTGATGGACCTACTTCCAATATTAGGGCTCCAAATATTGCAACTATGGATGCACTGAAAATGATCCATGGAGGTGGTAGCAAAGAAAATTCTGGAAATCGCTGGTTTGACAAAACAATTGAGATTGTAGTTGGTGAGGAAGGAGAAGTTGGAATCACAGTGGAGCATAGCCCCGCTGAAGCAGTACCAATTGCTATGCTCATGAATTATTGCTTGGATTTCCTTGAGAAGATGCCAAAAAGCAAACGTGGAGAGGACACTGCAGCTTTTCCAAAACCAGAAAAATTACAGTTTAATATCAGCTCAGACATTAAGAATGCTATTGAAGTGGCTCAGCAGAACCTGGACAAGTTGGTCGAGTACACTGACTTCTTGTGTTGTACTTATTCTGGATATGGAAAGAACTTAATCAAAGAGTTCAAAGTGAGTCCTGACAGTTATATCCAGATGGCGCTCCAGTTAGCATATTACAGACTCCACAATGAACCAGCAGCTCACTATGAATCGGCTGGTACACGGCTGTTCCATCTGGGACGCACTGAAGCCATTCGATCATGCTCAGTTGAATCTGTACATTTTGCCAAGACAATGCTGGATTCTAAGAGTTCAAATGAAGATAAAAAACAAGCTCTGGTGGCTGCTGTGAAAAGTCATAAAGACTATGCTACACAGGCTGCACTTGGACAAGGTGTAGACAGGCATCTGCTAGGCCTGAAGCTTGCAGCAATTGAAAATGGAATGCAACTACATCCTCTCTACAGAGACCCATCAATTGTGCGTAGTACACATTTCAAAATAACAAGCAGCCAGGTTGCAGGGAAAGGTAATTCAGTGATGTGTTACGGCCCAGTGGTTCCTGATGGCTATGCAGCCTGCTACAATCCCTTGCCAAACACATTGAACTTCGGTTTAGCAGCTTTCAAATCAGGCCGTGGTACTGATGTAAAGGCCTTCCATGATGCCCTGATGGCTTCATTTGATGACATGGAAAAAGTGATGGCTATTGGTCATCAAACTAGAGCAAAGCTGTAATTTATTATAAGCCCTTGTGTTATATGTAATTTTATGAGGATGGTCTCTGAGCATTATGAGAATGGAACCATTGAATGTGCACTAGGCTTGTGATATTGGTTTGTTAGGATTTGTGTTCGGTATTATATAGAGATGACAGAGATATTTACTTCAGTTTTTTTAATTACATTGTAATTTTCGGAGAACAATTTAGTAGGCTTACACGCAATTAATAATAATAAGTTTTAGAACTGATATAGGGCTATTTCTCTTAGGCTAGGATATGTAATCTTTGTTTATAGAATACCCATTCTTCTAATTTTATATTGTTGTCTTTTAGGTTATGATTTTGAGTTCTTGTGTAGTTACTAGCGTTTGGAAGGAACCTGTTGCCCCTAATGTCAGAGTAGCACGTATGAGGCACTTATGTATGATGTCTTAATTCAAAAGGTCATGACATAAATATTCACAGCCCCCCCCCCCGGCCTGTGAAATTTTCGAAGGACAGTTCAGTAGGCTTACACGCAATAAATATCAATAAGTTTTAGAAATGATATAGGGCTATTTCTCTTAGGCTAGGTTATGTAATCTTTGTATATAGAATACCCATTCTCCTGATTTTATATCGTTGTCTTTTAGGTTATGATTTTGATTTCTTGTGTAGTTACTAGTGGAAAATAATAAAATGGGTCTTAGAGAAATAGGATGGGATGGTATGGATTGGATTGACCTGGTTCAGGATAGGGACCAGCGAAGGGCTCTTGTGAACACTAATGAACCTTCGAGTTCCATAAATCACTGGGAAATTTTTGAGTAGCTGCAGAATTGGCGGCTCCTCCAGAAGGGCTCAGTTCCATGAGTAAGTAAATAAGTCACTAGCGGCTGAAAGGAACCTGTTGCCCCTAATTTCAGAGTTGAACATATGAAGCGCTTAAGTATGACGTCATAATTCAAAAGGTCATGACATAAATATTCACTTGTAACAGCCCCCCCCCGGCCTGTGAAATTTTCGAAGGACAGTTCAGTAGGCTTACACGCAATAAATATTAATAAGTTTTAAAAATGAAATAGCGCTATTACTCTTAGGCTAGGATATGTAATCTTTGTTTATAGAATACCCATTCTTCTAATTTTATATTGTTGTCTTTTAGGTTATGATTATGATTTCTTGTGTAGTTACTAGCGTTTGGAAGGAATCTGTTGCCCCAGTTTCAGAGTAGAACGTATGTGGCATTATGTATGACGTCATAATTCAAAAGGTCATGATATAAATACTCACTTGCATCATTCCAGAACAGCCCCCCTCCCCTCGGCCTGTGAAACTTGCTTACATGATGGGGTTTCACGGCATCTTCTTGAGGCAGCCACAACAATTACCAGACATTTAATAATATACCATATATAACCATATTTCATTGTATAACTTTCGTTTTATAATAATTTTATAATTGTATTGTATTTTTATACCTTGTATTATTATAATGTCCATTGTAGGACAGAATTTCAGTTCAATATAGTGTGAGTGTAGTAACTATGTATTTTCCTGATGATGGTTTTAAAAGCCGAAACATGTAGCTAAGGTGATATTGACTTAGACCGTTTCGTTGTTGTGTCACGACGGATCCAAATAAAGAATTTTATATGATGAACACAAAAGGATGTACTCAATGAAAATAATATTAATAATATAGTTCATTATGTTTGTATTTTCATCACATATGTTAAGGAGTTAACAGTGCTGACACTTTTACAGATGTAATTAAATGTGTGTTTTGAATAGTAGAGGTTTACAGTGTGTTGACATGTACTTACCAGTCTGAAGAAAATAAATCCATTCACTTGGCAGCCATTTTTTAAATTTGTCTTCTAAAGAACTGTGAATTTGAAGGACGCAACACCTCTTCCGATTCCAGCTGAGGAACCGAAATTTAGTTCCTGTTACAAAATATATTCCATTCATTTGTGTGTGGCTCATTTGAATTAAAGCTCACTGGCCACGCACTGTCTCCCAAAGTGTCCCATCATGCCACGAGCTCTAAGAATAAACTCGGTGCAGTTGCCAATACGATTAACTTGAAAATCTTGACAATAGATGGCCACCTCGCTTCTCTATCACGCATTATATAATATATTATGGGAAAACACATTTTGTTTATAAAAAGTCACATTCTATCGCAGATGAAAGTAGGTTAGGATGGAACGGAAGACACGAAAACGGTTGCTGTGTTGTCGTGAAATTTCGCCTAGTACCGTGTGCCAAAAAATCATACAAACTTAAGGCCGGATCATGCGGTGGTAATGTAAACACGCAGGCGCCGTGCAGCAGTTTCAATCGATACAACCCGCCGAGGTTTTCTTTACTGCAACCGCGCTGTGTGGGCTGTGTTTGTGCGTCATCTACAAAAAGAATCAAACTTGACATGGAAAGGTACAGGTTGACACAGTTGTGCCCCTGCTGCAGTACGTCATGAAAACTACAGGGAGATTGGAGGTGTGTAATTCCACGCACTAGATGGAAGTGAGTGGCTAATATCACGCCCCTGTCGCTTTACCCCCAGGGAAGGGAACCCTGTTACGCATTGAACGGGAGGCAGAATGGATCCCAGAACAGGTCTGGACGTTGTGGGAAAGAAAACCTACAAATTAAGGATGTCCTTAGTATGAAACGCCTCCTTCCTTCTGTTGCAGCCTGTGCTTTAGATCCAAATATTCTGGCATTGCCTTCTATTTTTGAACAGTAATATTATAACTGTACGTAAGGGCCCGAAGTCTCCTTTGGATATCATTTTGCAGAAGTATAATTTTGGAGTATTAATTCTGTTTGAAGCAAAGAAGAAGTGAGGCGAATGCATTGTGTATGCCCCCTAACTTCAAATTTTGAACCAGTTGACATATTTTCAAGAGCATTTGGAGTTATGCCATTGGAGACCACATCAACGTCATAATTTTTGCTTTCCTACAACGAGAGGCAACCTGTTGACGCTTTCATACGAAGCAGTTATGGCAGACGACCAAAATAGTTTGGCTTCAGCTCTCGGCGCATTGCTCGATGTATGGACTAGGCCACAAGCTTCGAAGCGGTGTCACTCTTCACCAGGGTGCCGACTGAGGAGAACTTGGGTCTGCTTAGTCCACACTTTGAGGAGGATATCCTGAAGTTCTTCCGCCATGTCCTGACTTCCTCATACTTCAGTTTCACTGGCCAGTTCTAGGAACAAATTTACGTCGTGTTTATGGGTTCACCACTCTCTCCGGTCAAAGCTAACTTCTTCATGGATAATTTCGAGAAGATGCCGATCGACCAGGCCGCCCATAACACCCTCTGCTAGTTCCGTTACGTGGACACTTTCATCGTCTGACCACATGGACCCTACAGGCTGAGGGGGCCCATACACGTACGAGTCTGGCTCGCAAGTCCGACTCGGCTCGGCTCGGGTTCCAACGAGCCAAACTCGTCCTTATGTGGGTCGCCACGCTCATACGTGTGTGGTGAAATTATTCCGAGCCCGGCTCCTCGCCGAGCCGGACTCGCAAGCCAGACTCGTACGTGTATGGGCCGCCTGAAGGACTTCCTTGACCACTTGAACAGTGTCCACCAGGATACTAATTTGAGGAATAAAATGTTCAGTAAATGAAGCAAGCACCACACAATGAAGATATGGGGAACAGACGTAAAGCTCTACTATATTAAGTCGTCAGCTTCATCCTGTCGTGAAATAAGACCTCGAGGTGTATTTTTGCGACATACTTTATTACTGAACGACGTAACTACAATTCAACGTAACTATAACACAAATGTTGAAAAAGTCGTTTCACAGTCGGTCCTTTCGTGCTAACAACTCTTACTAGAATGTCAAAGAATATTCCTATGCAGTGTTTTATACACAAGACGTTCCCTGGCAACGAACCTTCATTCAACAAGACGTTCCCCGGAAACGAATCTTCAATGAAGGTCATCCATGTTCCGGGGTAACGTTGTTACTGCCCGGCAAATAACACGCAACAACTAGTAGAGCAAACGCTATGCAGTCATGGATCATAAGTCAATGAATTAAAGGGGAAAGATATCTCAATTCCTCACATCCCCAGAGAGCCTTTGGAAGGAGACGTTTGTTGTTTTCCAGTCAGTTTGAGAACTGAAGAAGTCCAGCCAGTCAGCCTACTGGCCGCCTTGTCTCGAGTTACATGTGAGTGCTTCATTACTCTTCTATTTGCATTCCGATCTGACAAAAGGCGCAGTGAGTTTACTGATGACGTCAGTTCCCCCTTCCTTTGCCGATGTTCTCAGCTTCCTCGATGGTGTCTGGTAGTTTTACATTTAGAGTTTCGGGGAAGGAGAGGGCTAGCAACCCGCCCAACATCGCCATGCTACCAAAAAGTAGCAAGGGGAGCGACTCCAAGTACCCCTCCTAAAATCAGCCAAAATACAGAGAAACAAGAATGAATGAATGTTGAAATTGTTTAAATTGGCTCTTACACAACTACTAAAATGTTTGGAGAAGAGAAGGATCACGCGATAGCGTAGTTAGTTGAAGCACTATGCGACAAGCCTGAAGGTCGCGGGCTCGATTCCCGATAAGATCATTGGATGTTTCAATTGACCTAATCCTTCCAACCGCACTATGGCCCAGGTGGTCGACTCAGTCTCTAACAGAAATGGGTACCAGGAAACTTCCATTCCAGATGATCAAGGTACGCAAATCTCCCTACCAGGTACTAATCCAGGAAGAGTAAATTTCACTAAGATGCACCTTAAATTTATCGTACCGTCTCCTTTTCGGTCGTCCAAATGACTGTTTTCCGGCATCCCGAAGTGTGCCTTGCTGTCAAAAGAAAGCCACTTACCAGCAAGGGAGTCTGAGGCGCTATCACGGAGCCGATACGCCCGAGCATGGAGCAACAAGCGAGCGTCGAGTGCCGCAGTTCCGTCGGAAACAGTTCGGCAGTGAACACGAAAACCACAGCGAAGGAAATCGTGATACCGAACTTCCCCAGCATGAACAGGAGCAGCTGTACCAGGCCCAACTCTGTTACAGAGAACATACGTAATGCATATTCGGGATATTGCCTGCCCGGGTGTTTGGTTTGTCAGTTGCGAGTAGGTCAAAAGTGGTTAGGTGTATCATGAAAAGTTAAACAATTGACGGAACTGTTTAACTTTCATGATATTGTTACTGTGACGGACCAGAATGTAACAAATCAAATTGGTTAGGTGTAATCTGAACTGAATGTGTTGAGAATCTGCATACCTTATCTCTACCATATTTGTTACATACCCCTTCCACTTCATTACCCTTGGTTTGGTCCCACTAATACAGTGCGTACAATCAAGTGCGCGCCGCGGCTGCAATTTGCCGTGAGTCANCAAATTATTGATCTTATTATGCTGTACTTTCCTCAGTCCCTTCTCTTAGGTCTAGTTCTTCGTTTTATAGCTACCTGTTGGCAGAAACGCGAAGGAGATGCAGCTGACGCCCGAGAGAATGAGGGAGAGGCAAAGAGTGCACTTCCTGCCCAGTCTGTCCATGGCGAAGTAGAACACGACGTAAGCTGGGAGTTCTATCAGCGCCACCAGGATGAAGTTGGTGAACTGGTTGCCTCCCACTAATACCGAGTTCAGAGACAACCCGAAGAACACGAACGTGATGCTGAACCTGAACAATCACTACTTTATTTCAGGACCGAAGAAGAAATTACAGACATCGGGTGTGCTCAAATCAGTGATATTTAAAAGTTTTCTTTATCAATTATTCCTTTCCATCTTACTCGCGAGACATGTCTCTTCAAGATCAACATCGACTTATATGTGCGGCTGTTGAAAAAGGATCTATCTATCTATCTATCTATCTATCTATCTATCTATCTATCTATCTATCTATCTATCTATCTATCTATCTATCTATCTATCTATCTATCTATCTATC